CGCGCCCGGAGGAGGGAGAGCGGGACTTGGGGGAGGAGCCGCTCTCTGCCCCCCTCCTCCCGCTTGGCCCCAGAAAGAAAGAATCTAAACCTCCCCAGGCCCGATTTCACCCTCCGAGAGAAAGGGCGACCACCACGGGTGGTTTCCGCCATGGCCCCATCCTCGCCGATCCTGGCCCAGGCTGGTTGCCTTGGTAACGCCTCCCAGCCTAGAACACAAACAGCTTCTCCTCTCCTCCACTTTGGTGGTTAGGGGGCCCCCCCGAACCTCCCCTGTCCCTACACCAGGAGGAGGTTGCTAAGGTAATCTAAGTCCCTGGTGGTCCTTCCGCCCCGACCCGCATCGGTTACTATGGCAACCTCAACTAGCACTCCCTCAGCCCCGAGGACACTGATGACTGAGGGAAACACCTCTTTCGCAACCCACCCTCCTAACCACCCAGTGGGCATTACCATGGTAACCATCTCCCCTCCTTTCCCATGGTGGGAGGTCCATGGACCAAACCAACCAGGTATTTTTATTTAGAGGAGAAGATGCTCTGCTGAGGCGTAGTTGCTATGGTTACAGGGCCTGACCCTCCCCAGGGAGGCAAGACAGGCAAGGCTAAGCCCTGGTTACTATGGTAACAGAGGCAGTCTCCCTTCCAGTGACCCTAGGAACCAGACCCACGAAGGTAGGAGACGTTTTTTTAGGATTGTCTCAGGATGGAGTGTGTCTAGGGAAGTGGGTGTCATAGTCACAGCTTCTATCACTTCCAACCCTACCTTTCTGGACACAGTCATGAGATAGGGATGGTTATAGGTTGCTATGGTAACTGACATCCTTCCCACCCATTCCTGAGATGCTCCAGGTAGTGTCTGAACTTAGAGGACTTCAAGAAAAATGATTTATAGGTAAGATGAAGTTGTGCTGTACTGTGCAAAATTGGCTGATTTGGTATTTTCTGGTTCTCCTTCCCTCAGCAGCGCAGCTGAGCAGGGCTGAGACCGCCCCCCTGAAACTCCCCCAGCCTGCAACGTAGGAGGTAAGAAGTCTCTCAGTATCACCAGTACTCATGTGCACACTGCCCTTTCCTCGTCCCCAAAGGCTTTCCCACATATCCTCTTTACCCATTGCATTCCCATTCTACAGATGCAGCAACTGAGGCTCAGGCCAGATCAGAGCTCAGACCAGGTGAGCCCAGGCCTGAAGTGATCCACTTATACTGTTTTGTGGGGGATGGAGAGACAAAGTCTCATCTTGTCTTCTCCATCCCTGGCTCCTTTTTCTATAGCAAGCCTCTGTTTTTCTCTGCCACACCCCTGCTGGTTTCTTTCCCCTTTGGGATATTGTTTTCCTACCTCTGGAGGGCCTGCTCAGTGACTGTCCAGTTCATCTCCTGTCCCTGGAACTCATGGTCTGGCACAGAGGACACTCAATAAGTAGCTTTGTTGCGTTAGTGAGTTGCATGCATTAATGTGCCATATTTGAAAGCACTGGTCAGGTTAGAGCCAGGGAAGGCTCATGGAAGGTAGGCCCAAGAGAGACAGAATTGATTGCATTAAAGCACAACTCTGGAGCCAGCTTCCTTTTTCAAAAATACATATTTTTATTATTGATTTCAGAGAGGAAGGGGGAGGGAGAGAGAGGTAGAAACATCAATGATGAGAGATAATCATGGATCGGTTGCCTCCTGCACACCCCACACTGGGGATCGAGCCTGAAACCTGGGCATGTGCCCTGACTGGGAATCGAACCGTGCCCTCTTGGCACATAGGTCAACGCTCAATCACTGAGCCACTCAGGCCCGGCTGGAGCCAGCTTCCTTTTTCAAAAATACATATTTTTATTATGTATTTCAGAGAGAAAGGGGGAGGGAGAGAGAGGTAGAAACATCAATGATGAGAGATAATCATGGATCGGTTGCCTCCTGCACACCCCACACTGGGGATCGAGCCTGAAACCTGGGCATGTGCCCTGACTGGGAATCGAACC